TGATGAGTAGAAGCATAGTACAGAAGTAGGGAGAGGGGATATCCCAGATGGAAGGATAAGGCGAGGGCTGAAATAAAAGTGGGGGAAATGGACATCCTGAAAGCAAGTGTGTGCATGTAAATATGAAGCACAGTACAGCATAGTTATATTTCAGGAGGGACGTTTTGTTAGATTGTATGAAGCGATAAGATACACCCAACTTTGGAAGAACACATCTCTTATAGGAGTGAATGCTGTGGGTAATAACGAATGAAGAGAGTATTTACACATTTCCAGCCACATCATATTAAAAGATCGAAAATTAATATTCACTAAATTTATCAGTAATTTTATATTTATGAGACAATAACCATAAGACTGATCCTCAGTTCTTAACATCTTCACTTATACAGACTTTTATCCTGGACAGGCACACAGTAGAGTACTTTAATTTAGTACAGGTACTGTACTATACTGTATACAAATACATTGATACAAATGAAGATTTACAGATAACATTCCTTTTCACATTTACATCTGTTAATAGCACTGGCAGCATTGTAGCCAGGTTAGACTCATCACTGTAACCACCAGGCTACTGGGCCAAGCTGCGAGGTGTTATGGTTGTTCCAAATAAAAGTCATTGGTGCTTCCAGGATATTTGGCACAAAAACTTGTAATACACTGACAACTGCTTGCTATTACTCGGATATTCAGAGAGATATTCTTTTCTGTTGACATATACAGTATATCTTCATCCACTTTTAGTGCCTTTATTGGAATGCGTGTACAGTCTATGGCACCACTACATTTTGAAATCCTTTTATTATTTAAATTCTGCTTCGTTTCTGTTACTGAAATCATTCCTCTTGGCATTTTTGTTTCTGCTCTTGCTTTTCTGTACATAGCAATTGTCACTTTATCTATAATTCTTGATTCAGTGGATTGGCTTAAGCCAGTAACATCCCCAACTACACTCTGAAAACTACCACTCCCCAAAAATCTTAAAGTTAATAACACAGATGTGTGCATTGGGACTGCACGAGACCTCTTTGTCACACGACCTATATCTTGCTGTATTTAGTCACATAGCCAGAGTATATCCCTTTGTAGTACCATAGCAGTAGGTGGTCATCTATTTGTAGAGGGCCCAAAAGATCCCTAAACATCCTTTCTCTCTCATGAGCTAAAGCAATCGTTAGTCCCATCTGTATAAGATGGGATCCGACCTCCACAAACTGTTAGTGAATCACCCGTTCAGCCTTAAGGTTGATCGTAGTGATTTTGGTGACTGTCATTAATGAATCTGGTCCCAGTTGTCTAATAGTCCCTGTAACTATTAATTTTCAATAACCATCATCAACATCACCAATGCCAGGAATGACTTCATTTTACAAACATCCACTGATGTCCAATGGACTTGGTGAGAGTGGTGCAACAGCACCATGCCAACCAGCAAAATGACATTGTAAGTGTTAGTCTGGTCCACTAGGTACTGAACAAGTCGAGAGTAAAGAAAAACTGGAAAAAATTTACTTCCCTGCTGTCATTATTCACCAAGTCCATCTGCACTCCTGAAGCAGTGTTGTCAGAGGCATGGAGAGAAGGCACAAAAGTATCACCAATAAACCACTGCCAGTCTTCATCGGGTACGCTGACATACATACATTTGCACGCAAAAATGCTTCATATTCATTAGGATAATTGAAGTGCCTAAGACTTTCAATACAATTTATATATTTACAATAATATGCTGTATTTTCATTGTAACACAAAGTGCATGAAAAATCTGTATACATTACTGTACTGTATTATTTCATAATGGTACAAAAAGGCTAATTAACATATTCTAAGAGAAATTATTATTAAAAGAGATTACAATTTATAAGTTATGGGCATTTCCAGGCAGATGTATTGCTTCCCTAAATGGAACAAATTATTACTATATTGCAAAATGAAAAGAAATAGAAAATGTAACCAAGTTTCTTCGGGACAGCACTAGGAGTCAAAACTACACCACCAATTTGTGTATAAAATGCAGTACTACACCATATGGTATGGTGCACCATCAAACACTACACCACATGGTATGATGCATTACACAGTACAGTATGGTGCACCATCATGCACTACACCACACAGTAGAGTGCACCATCTTGCACTACACCACACAGTATAGTGCACCATCATACACTACACGACACAGTATGGTGCACCATCATGCAACAACACCCCACATTATGGTGCATCAACATGCACTACACCACATAGTATGGTGCACCATCATGCACTATACCACAGCATAGTGCACCATCATGCACTACACCACACAGTATGGTGCACCATCATGCACTACACCACACAGTATGGTGTACCATCATGCAACAACACCCCACTTTATGGTGCATCAACATGCACTACACCACACAGTATGGTGCACCATCATGCACTATACTACACAGTATGGTGCACCATCATGCATTACATTACACAGTATGGTGCACCATCATGCACTACACTACACAGCATGGTGCACCATCATGCACTACACTACACAGTATGGTGCACTATACTACACAGTATGGTGCACTATACTACACAGTATGGTGTACTATACTACACAGTATGGTGCACTATACTACACAGTATGGTGCACTATACTACACAGTATGGTGCACTATACTACACAGTATGGTGCACTATACTACACAGTATGATGCACTATACTACACAGTATGGTGCACTATACTACACAGTATGGTGCACTATACTACACAGTATGGTGCACTATACTACACAGTATGGTGCACCATCATGCACTAGACTACACAGTATGGTGCACCATCATGCACTATACTACACAGTATGGTGCACCATTATGCACTATACTACACAGTATGGTGCACCATCATGCATTATACTACACAGTATGGTGTACCATCATGCACTATACTACACAGTATGGTGCACCATCATGCTTCAGCTTTTGGATGTCAGGTTATTTTGGCTTAGCTCTGACTTTGAAGCCAGAGGCACAGCACTGGCTTCGGCTTTCAAGCCATGGGCTTGGCTTTGGATTTTCTTCTTTACAGACACACACACTGTGATGTCACAGTTGAGCTGGTCCCTAACTTTTGTCTTCCCATAATGACCTGACCTAAACCTCAGAAAAGTACTCTACCACCTCAGAGTCAGACGCCGTATCTTTAACAATCAGTAGACCGTTCGTTACAATGAATGAATGAATAAAATTAATGATGAATAAAATAAAACAATGAAGAGAATAAGATAAATTGTTAATTTAAGCAACTTTTTTCTGGCTGAAGGGAGTCAAAACTTACCCCATTGACAATAACTTATCTCAAAGCTTTGCTGCAACTTATAATATCATATGTATTTCCATCAACATGTAAGGTAATACAGTGCAGTATTGTACTGTACATTATATGGTAACACACAGTCTACTCTCAAAATAGCTTTTAAGTATTTTATATATACTGTATATACAGTGGTCCCTCCATTAACGAACGGTCCAATTAATGAAATTTCGATTAACGAATTAGCTTCCATAAGAATTTTCAATTCCATTCATGCACAAAACTTCGATTAACGAAAGCCTTTCGAGAAACACGCTTTGTTGTGTGCATCAGCTGACCAGCTAGTCCGCCAATACAGTAATTGGTTCTATGTTTACATTCGTTTCCAGTGGAATAAATATCAAGAAAGTTGTGCTCTTGAATATTTTTGCATTTTTTATATTAAAATTATTGGTCATTCTATTTTAGTTAGCATATTGATAATATATACTGTACAGTACAGGGAACAGTTTTTGTGTGCCAATCAGCCGATTGAATCACTCGCCAATGCTTCTCAGTTTAACTTTGTTTGCAGTGGAGTGAACATCCAGTTGTTGGTCTCTTGAATATTTTTGCATTTTTACATTAAAATTATTGGTCATTCTGAAATTTAGTTCACATATTGATAATATACAGTGCAGAAATTATTGTGAAACATGAAGAAGGCATTAGAATCAATGCAATCTGTAAAGAATATGACATGTCATCATCGACTGCCTCTACAATCAGCTGTTTGATATGTAAACAAAGCTGCCGGGAATACGACATACACACCACAAAGTAAGTTCAAATATAGTATTCCATTGTTTTTTATTTATTAGTGTACAGTATACTGTACAGTACTGTATTTAGTTTATATTTAATGTTTTGTTAATTCTATTACTGGTATACAGTACTTTGTATGTACAGGTATACTTTTTCTGTGAGTTGGAACCAATTACCCAAACTTATTTATGGTTGTTTAATTGATATCTAATTCTCTTGTGCAGTGAACCTGTATCAGAACTTATTTTCTACCCTTTGCCCTATCTGGTGGTAACCCTTGTCATAACTCCTGTCACCTTATGTCTACAGTCTCTCAGATTGGCAGTTCCTCTGAAGTATTGACAACTTAACAATGACTGACTAGAGATGGGTAAATACAATGTTACTGCTTACTATAATGATACATATGATATAATCATGATGACAATAATAATTTCTAAGAACAACATGTTATGAAATTCATCTCACTGAATATCATCAACTATATGCAGCTGTAAGAAAATGTTCACATTACTGTATGTATAATACAGTATTATGTATGTATCATTGAGGAGCAGTAACAATAAATATCTAAAGTAACTTTCAGAGATCACTGACTGACAGTAAATATTCCGGCAATATGTGACATTTTCAGAGTAGACAGAAAGAGTGTATCATCATGCACTACACCACATGGTATGGTGTTAATATGCACTACACTACATAGTACAGTATGGTGTGTCAAGATTTACTAAACTACATGATAATATCATGTGTCAACATATATTATACCATAAGGTGTGGTGTCAATGTGCACTACACCACATGGCATGGTATCAACATGCACTACACTGCATGGCATGGTGTCAATGTGCACTACACCACATGGTATGGTGTCAACATGCACTGCATCACATAATATGGTGTCAACATGCACTACACCACATAATATGGTGTCAACATGCACTACATCACACAGTATGGTGTCAACATGCACTTCACCACATGGTATAGTGTTAATCAGTGAAGTATAATGGGGGGCTGGCTATGCTCCACCCTGCTTTTACTACTGCTTTCCCTCAACTTGCTCAACTCACACCCTAACACAACCAGTTCCCGAGGACACAAGCACAGGTGTACTTAGAAGTTAACTCAACCCCATAATCGGGGGGAGTGGAAGCCTCCAACAGTACTGTACAGAGATTTTGACAGAATTATTTCTGCTGTGAAATTGCACAATATTATTTATTCTTTTCACACACAAACCTCAGTATGGCTACAGGTAAAACAGTATACTTAAGCTTTCCCTCATCAGATTCACAGACGTTAATGTAGAGACTTGTACATATGTTGGTCCTGGACTAGTGTGTGCTGTTCGTGTCAATACTCTTATGTCCTACTATTCATTGCAGATGGCCTCAAAAAGTCCGTGAAAATGGTCAAATTTCACAATTTTCTCAGGGTAGGGGGAGGCTGTAACCCCCCCCCCCCACCTAAACCCCCAGTTGTATGGACTTGCTACGCTCGCCGCCTGCTTGCACCACTGGATGGAAATACGTATTGTAAAATACAGTAATGTCCCAATCTTCAAGTCTTGGGCTCCCATTTCCAAAAACTTATATATGCCACTTGTATTAATGTACACTACACCACATGGTACAGTGTTAACATACATTACACCACATGGTATGGTGCACAACACATGCTACACTGCATGGTATGGTGTCACCATGTATTAGGCCATATGGTATGTTATTGCCATGCACTATACCACATGGTATGGTGTCACCATGCACTATGCCACATGGTAAGGCAACAATGTGCACTGTAACACATGTTAAGGTGTTAACATGCACTATAGCAAATTGTATGGGCTCAACATGTACTATATCACATGGTATGGTGTCAATATGAACTATACCACATGTAATAGTGTCAACATACACTGTATCACATGGTATGGTGTCAATATGAACTACACCACATGTAATAGTGTCAACATACACTGTATCACATGGTATAGTGTCAATATGAACTACACCACATGTAATAGTTTCAACATACACTATATCACATGGTATGGTGTCAATATGAACTACACCAAATCACATGGTATGGTGTCAACATGAACTACACCACATGTAATAGTGTCAACATGCACCATATCACATGGTATAGTGTCAATATGAACTACATCACATGTAATAGTTTCAACATGCACCATATCACATGGTATGGTGTCAACATGAACTACACCACATGTAATAGTGTCAACATGCACCATATCACATGGTATGGTGTCAACATGAACTACACTTTTTTACTTATATGAAAATTATGATAACTGGGACAGTATTTGTTGGTGGTAAACAATATCTTATTCAGTCCAATTTTCTCAGTACATTTGTAGCACAACACAACACAGTATAGGTTGACGAGATGTTGATGAGCTAGAGAGTGAGGTAGTGAGTGCCGGCGAAGAGCTCCTGGTGCTCAGGTCTCCTGGCCTCACCACAAGGTCGTGTCAGCATCTCTCCACCGGTGGCAGTAATGGCCTCTTTTTTGTGATATTCCACAAGGTCACCTGTTGAATGATTATTATTATTTTTTTTTTTAAACATTCTCTTATGTAATATCATCGTAAAATTTTCTCTTTGTCTGTTAGTCTCTTTATATGTTAATCTTTTATATATCACTGATAACTCTAAATACTGTACACTCGTAATACTTTTTTCTTGTATAAGTTATTTAATCTTTAGCTGTAGGACTTGGGTTTTCCCTGCTGATTATGGCATATAGTACTCGTATTTTCTGTTTAGGCGCTACCCTACCCAAGTATGGGTTGGTACTGTACTATTGTGCACCAAAGTCGTGTGCACTACCCAACCACAGTGAGGATTCGAATAGCCTTGAGTCTGAAATTTCGAAACAACTGGGGGAAATGCTATGGTCGGCCAACAGATGTCGCCCACTGTGGTGTGTGTGGGGGGGAGGGGGGAATAGAGGAGGTGGGGGTTAGTCTAGTAACAGGCTGTGTGTAGGTGGAGCATAACATCGTGAATTCCGCAATCACTGATAACAATAAGAATGTCATGAAGATAGTTAATATTATTAAGCATGGTGAGACATGTGTAACGGGTAAATAAAAGCACTACAACGACCACATCTCTGCCATTCATGGCTACGACGGTGAGACTGATGGGCACACCAGTAGTTAATTCTCCGGAGAATACACAAGTTGTTACCAAGGTTGGCGCCACCCACACCAGGGGAAGGAGATGATGTCAAACACTGAAACATGCCGAGGTCTCATTCCTAACATCGTCGTCACCAACAGGTAAGTCACATTAATTTGTCACCATAGACCATGTCGTCCTTATACTATTGCAGGGTGTCCCATGAGTGACAGCAGATATTTGTAGAGGTGAAACAATATGTGATATTGAGCCACCACGTCTCTATCTCCAACCGTTTCCCTCTATCTATAATAAAAAGTGTAACCCTACTCAGAAAAAATAAGGAATGGGCCCTCCAAACAAATTAAAGATAAGGTGCACCCCACCCAAATAGGGATGGGCCCTCCATTTCCTTTCGCCTTCTTTTCTCCGCATCCTTTCCTCCCTCCCATAGCCCCAGTCACCCCAACCTACCACTCAATACCATGCAGTGGGCAGAAGGCCACACACTTTCTCTCCTCCTAAAAGTCTGTTCCGTTTAACCCACATTCTTTCACTACTAAACCTTCTTCCCCCTCTCCTATATTTCGCTATTGCTATCGCTATCTCCCGCCTCGACTCCGCCATTTGTAATGGTTGCCTTGCATAATTTGTAAAATCCACCTCACGGCTAAACGTAAACCGAAAAATCCATATATGTATAGAAGTTTTATACTCAGAATCACATATTCTTTCACCTCTACAAATATCTGCTGTAATTAGGGGGACACCCTATTATAATTATATGACAGTTGTTATATGAGCTCCTGAGTTAACTTCACCATAAAAATATGGTGTTTGATGTGTTATTCGCTTGCCGCACGTTACCTTACTCGGTTATGTTACACCCCCAGTTGCAACCTGAGAGTTTGGGTTGGGTAATGTAGTATTTTGAGCAGAAATGGAATTCAGAACGACTCAATGAACATGAAGAAAAACGTTTTTATAAAACGAACCCTAACGTAATGTAACCTATTACAGTTATATGTAATCTGGGACGAACATGTCATAGCTGAAAATTGTCAAAGAAATATGTAAAGCAGTGGAAAACCATATATTTTGATTATCGGCGAGGCTAACTACCTATAAACAATTAATATTTGACGACTGGCAAAAGTCCTGGGAAAATGAACCAACAAGTCATAAGCTAAAAATGATCAAATCATCAGGTTATCCTTGGTCATCATCAAAACAATCCTCTCGACATCACGAAACTATTCTGAATCGTCTAAGAATTGGGCATACGCGATTGACGCATGGCCAACTCATGTCTTCCCCTAATGGAGCCCCACCCATATGCTCCAACTGCCGAACACAAATAACAGTCCAACATATTCTCATTGAATGCCCTATTTATAATCGGTATCGAACAATGTGCTTCACTAACCCTACAATGTAAGACCCCAAAATTTTCGCTAAGTTCAGTTTTGACCTTTTTGAAATACTGTAATCTCCTCCAAACAATATACCGGTAACACTAAATTATAAAAACACAAATATATGTTAACTAATCCCTCTGGCCAGCCCTAGGAGAGACTCAAATGGGTGTCAGTGGTCTGGTTAAACTAAATCTTGATGATGATGATGATTATCGGTAAATGTTCACGCCACAGTCGCAGGGGTGGTGGTGGAGGTTTGGGGGGGGGGGAGGATCCACTTGCAGTTCACTATGAATACATGAAATAGGAAGGGTTTCTTGGGCAGTTGATCCAAAAAGATTTACCAAAACGTTATGTCAGAGTAATAATACTTAACCTAGGTGTTACTAATACCATTAATTTACTCTAGTATATAAAAGCCTGCATCTGTTACCACAACATAATATTACTCTGCCATTTCAGATATGCCTGCAGGACGAGCAAATTCGTCGACAGTGATTGCTGAGCGAGGCCAAATCATCGGGATGTGGAGAGCCGGGGCAACTGAGCCGAATAATGTTGTCGAAGTGGGGAGGAGCATAAGATGATTAGGAGCTGGATCCGCCGGTGGGAGGAAGAGAGCTCAGTGGAGACGAAACCTCGAAGCGGGAGGCCTCGAGTAACGTCGGCAAGGATGGACGCCAAGATTGTGGCAGCTGCAACGGCATATCCAATGCGAACATCAGTGGAGCATACAAGAAATCTGGGCCTCAACTACCATCACATGACGACGAGACGCCGACTTCATGAAGCCGGGATCGACTGCCATATTCCAGCTCACAAAGGGTGGCTAACACCTACTCACTAGGAGTGTCGACTCAGCTTTGCATTGGAACACCTTCCACATAGAGAAGAATACTGGAGAACCTTTATATTTACCGATGAAACGGTGTTCAGGTCAGTGGGAGCCGAAGCAAGGCAGTGCTGGCGGCCCCCCAATACACGCTACCATGAGAAACACATTCAACATCGCGCAGTGAGTGGTAGGGTGTCAGTGTCATTCTGGGGGTGGATGTGGGCACATGGGCCAGGTGAACTGGTCAAGATCAATGGCCGTTTCACTGGTGAGCAGTATGTAGACATCCTGGAGCAAGTGCTAATTCCTACAGTCTGGGCTATGGCAGTTCCAGCCCCCCACACTATCAGGCTGGTTCATGACAACAGTCCCATTCATACCAGCAACATAGTGAAGGACTACCTCCAGGATCACCCTGAAATTGAGGTCATCGACTGGCCAACACTAGGATGTGATATTAATCCGATTGAACATATTTGGGCCATGATGAAACGTGATTGGGATATTGGGGAGCAGCGAACCTGTGCAGCAATAGAGGCCAAAGCTTACGACGTGTGGGAGAGTATACGTCGACGACCAGGGGTGTGCCTGAAGCTGGTCGACTCCATCTCTAATCTCCTTGATGAAGTTCTGAATGCAATGGGTGGCTGGACCAAATACTAAGATGTGTGTATTGGTGTATTGTTTGGATTTTAGTATTGTTTGTAAATACAATTAACATATATTAACTCACCTACAGTGTTATCTTAAATCCATGTCCTTAATGATGTCTTAAACTATATCGCATGAAAATTCATAACAAAGTAACTTAACAGCCACAAATTATGTATTGTGTGGTATACAATGATCTGTATGACACGTCGTGGAATGTGTTGTCTTATAACACAATATAATTATATAGTTACAATTGCTACCATCAATGAAATGCTCATGAAGTTCAGCAGACAATATTAACGGTAACTGAGTACACTCCAAAATATATATAAAGCTTGCATATTGTGGTGGGGTGTTTAAACACTGGAACTTGGAAGAATTGGAACTAGATTAAGTCTGAATACTATTTTACAAAACTGAGAACTTTTTCACTCCACTCTTTTTAACATAAGTATATAATTATATAATATTGCATATTATCACAAATATTTATTAAGCAAGGGATGGGTGAAATATAAATAAATATTACCAAAATCTCTTTGTCGGAATAACAACAAAATTGTGACGTGGTCGCTGAGTAAAACCAGCTGACCAAGGCCCTTCACCCTGATCCTTGCATATTTCACTTTTATACTTACTATATTCCATTCTTTAAAGTATCATTGTGGAGCGGCAATAAGCACCCAGGGCACTGCACCTGTTCCATGAATTCGTAACCATAAAGAAACAACTGTAAGACAAAACGTAGTTAAAAAGGCAGCTTGAAATTATGGTGGTATTGTAGTGTATTTCTCCCCTACAAACGCTGTTTGTCGCTGAGTAGCCGACCCCACGAATTCCCCAGTGTATGCCTCGTGGTCTGGGTCAACCAGCGCCGCCATACGTCACAGAGGTCAACTACTAAGCCACGCCTACCCCCGGTATTTAAGACCTGACCTTGTGGTGCCCTACCCCTTCTTCTAGCTACAGCCGCAGCAAGCAACACCACCTCCTCCGCCGCTGCCTGGCGGCTCTCGCTCCCGCCGGCGAGCATGGCGACCCACAAGCTGTCCTCCTCTGAGCATCCTCACCAACCAGCTCTCTCTACACCACGCTTGAAACCACGCTGCCACTTCCCAGCACCAAGCTGCATTGTACATCCAATACAACATGTATACAGAGAGCACATCGTGAGTTTCCTTTCTCCATCCCATCCTGAGTGTGAACCCAGACAACACATACCCCACAGTATAAATAATAAATAAACTTACCTCTCATCCAGCCCCAACTCCTCTATTCCACCACCCCCAGACACACTACAGTGGGCGACATCTGTTGGCCGACCATAGTATTTCGCTCAGCTGTTTCGAAACTTCAGATTCAAGGCTATTCGAAACCTCACTGGCTGGGTAGTGGACACGACTTTTGTGCACGATAGTACATATCTGTGAAAACTATTTTATGCTGTATTGTACTTCAAAGCCTAAACAGTTGTCTAAAAATTTTAGGATTTTTCTCTTGTGGCTTATTCATTCTTGTTTGAAGATGTCCCAATAATCAAACATTTTTGCACAAAAGTAAAAAAAACAAAACATGACACACATAGAGAAGTAAAGATCAAGTAAAAATAAATATTAGAGATTACAGTCCAGTATCTCTCATAAAGGTGAGACAAAAACTTACTCAGTGTATCATGAGAAGCTTGGTGTGAACCGAAGAATGTGTATTTTCCTGCCATAACATCAATCAGGTAGTGTCTGCAGCGGTCAGCAGCTTTATATGATATGGCATATCCCCATATACGTTCACTCACTCTTACAAGGAAACATCCAACAGCAGCCCCTGCCAACACTTCTTCTGCCTCTGTCCTGCTGATAATACCTGTTGTGAAAGATCAAACATTTAAAGACAATGTCTTATCATACCGAAAAAATAGAAGATTTATGTTGAAATCTACATTTCTGGTAGAGGTCAGTCAAGCTACTCCCATAACACTGTACAGCCAGCTAATAAGATACTCTCCACACCGTTCCCCATAATGGTGCTGCTTTAACCCACTTTGGGTACATTACCAGCACCCTTTCCTGCTCTTCACAACCCCCCAGCTCCATTTGAAAATGACTCCCCGTAACACTAATAATGGAAAAAAATGGTTGATTAGATACTTTTCATTAAATACCTTAGTATAGCAGTTGACTTATAGATGCAACAAAACACAAAGATATACTGTACACACCATGAAACCAAGGAGCAATTGCCATGCGTGAAGGCTCCAGCCCAGCTCCACGAGGAAGTTCCTCCTCACGGAACCATGCCACGATTGATGCACGGGAAGGAGGTTTAGGGGGCCGTAGCCGGTGGCGCACACAACCAGTAACAGGTCCGTCCTTACTGCTGTTGTTGTTACTGATGCTGTATGGAGGAAAAACATTCTAAGCAAACAAGGATTGGAAATTGACTTACAATACAGTACATAGCTTTTACCCCATATTGGAGAAGTACTGTTTACTTTCACTAAAACAATCTTGGTTTGTTTTTAAGGACAAGTACAGCGGGGATGGGTGAACGTGAGTTGTATTCAGGGAGAGAGTGGTGGAAGCAAGTGTGCCGACACAGGGCCGCGGGACAGCAGCGCACCCTCCACCCACACTACCCCGGGAGGTGGCACCAGTTCAGCCTCCTGAGAAAATAAAACTCCGCCTGGTGACATCATTTATCACACCGATATTAACTATGAGCACCACTCAAATATTGTACTGTACTATAATGGACTATACTGTATTATACTGTATGGTATTGTACTGTAGGGGGCAGTGAAATTTTGCTCAAAGCTGCACTCTTCAGGCATTGTTCTTATACATATCTAAGACTCCATGCCAAATTTGAAGCTGATATGTCGAGGTTTAGTCTGCCGCATTTTCTACTGAAATTTTTAAATTTACCTACAGTACTAGCCAAACAGCCGCTGTGGCGGTGCAATGTTATGTTCAGTGTTTATCAACTTTTTTTTCATATCTCTTATTTCATTTAAGTTGTCTTGTTGCAGATGAGTATGGTGCTATGTCTATATTGATTATCAGCCTTTTCTCATTTCATTTCTCAATGTTGTGTTACTGTTGTGTTACATGTGACTCCCAAGACTGGACACGGAAAGCAGATTGCCAAAACTATTCACGAGTTTCTGGTGGAGAAAAATCTAACCCAGCAGCCCATTGTGTGTGTTGGTTGTGATGGAACCAATGTAAATGTAGGATCAGAAAATGGAGTCATTCATCATCTTGAAATGTTACTTGGTCACCCGCTCCATTATTTCATATGTCAGCTTCACGGAAATGAGCTGCCTTTCCGCGCAGTTTTTTATCACTATGATGGTAAACCAAGTGGTCCTGAGCATTGGCGTGGTCCCATTGGAAAGCAGATCAAGGAGTCTTTGTCTGAGCTTCCAGTTGTCGCCTTCCAGCCAGTCAGTTTCCCTGATTTCCCTGTGTTTAATGATGAAGTGGAGAAAGATCTGTCCTGGGATCAGAAATACCTGTATAGGATTTGTAAAGGAGTTATCACAGGTGTTGTTGAAGATGACTTGGCTGCTATTACATAAGAACATAAGAACATAAGAAAATAAGGAGTCTGCAATAGGCCGGTTGGCCTGTGCATGGCAGCTCCTGTCGAGAGTTACTACCACTCTCTATCATCCATGAATCTATCTAGCCTCCTTTTGAAACTTTCCAGAGTTCCCGCACTTACTACAAAGTTGCTAAGCTTGTTCCACTCGTCCACCACCCTATTTGTGAACCAGTTTCTTCCTATCTCCCTCCTAAACCTAAACTTATCCAACTTGAATCCGTTGCTCCGAGTCCTATCCTGCTCGGATATTATAAGAACTTTATCTATATCCCCTTTATTGATTCCTTTCACCCACTTAAATACTTCAATCATATCTCCCCGCACGCTTCGTCTTTCTAGGGAATGCAAGTTAAGTTTCTTTGACCTATCCTGATATGGAAGGTTTCTAAGTCCAGGAATCATTTTTGTCATTCTTCACTGCACCGACTCTAGTGAATTTATATCCATTCTATAATAGGGGCACCAGAACTGAACTGCATAATCGAGGTGCGGCCTAACTAGCGCAAGATATAGTTGCAATAAGACCTCTGCACTCTTGTTACTTACACTTCTAGATATAAAACCCAATACTCTGTTTGCCTCTGTTGACCCAGGTCCTCCCTGTGTGTCAAGGTGGAACACCTTATGGAGTAGAATCCTCAGGCTGTATGTAGCAACATCAAGACCCAGCCATGAGTTGAAAAGAATTGTCATTACAATAATAAAGTTCAGTGCTCCAATGTGGTTTTACATCAAGATACACCCTTACGTAACACACGGCTCAAGGAACGTATTCCAGTCCCTGCTATATATGAAACACCTGAATAGTGAGGAGGAGACGATAGTGAAGAAGGCTGTCAGAGAAATGCATACTTCGCCCACACAGATCAACTTCTTCTTGGTATGTGTGCAGATGAGGACATGACTGTTAGAGAAAAAGCTGTCTCAATGATAAGAAAAATTAGAGAGGAGAATCAGCAAAAGGAAGAATGCACTGGCAGATCTGAAGAGGAGGAGGAAGATTCTGATGCTGCTGTTGACGAGAATTTGTTAAACTATACTGATGAGGAGGGTAAAGATGGAGATGGGAATGAGGATGTGCATCCTGTAGTCAACATGAGAAAGGTGGTGACTCCGAAACTAAAGTGGCAAGCAAAAAACTATCATTCCATGATTAACTGGAGGAATGAACTCAAGACTGAGCCTCCTTACATTGCTTCTCTGTCAAATCTACAGGTTAATGACATTCTTGAGACACCATTAGTGGTGCCCAAGTGGCCAAACAGCACTCAGGCGGTCGAGAGAGGCATAAAAGTGATGACACATCACACATCAGTTTAACCCATCAGTGTTCATAACCCATCAGTGTTCCTGCTTATCAGTGTTTAAACCCATCAGTGTTCTTAACCATCAGTGTTCATAACCCATCAGTGTTCATAACCATCGAGTGTTCATAACCCATCGGTGTTCATAACCATCGGTGTTCATAACCCATCAGTGTTCATAACCCATCAGTGTTCATAACCATCGGTGTCTACCAACGCCCATCCAGTGTAACGCCAGTGTCCTTAACCCATCGATTCATTTACCAATAACTTCCATCCAGTGTTCATAACCATCAGTGTCCATAACCCATCAGTGTTCACCAACCCATCAATTGTGCCTTCCCTTCATTGTCCGCCAACCCATCAGTGTTCACCCAACCCATCAGTGTTCATAGCCCATCAGTGTTCATAACCCATCAGTGTTCACCAACCCATCAGTGTTCATAACCCATCAGTGTCCATAACCCATCAGTGTTCATAACCCATCGGTGTTTGCAACCTCAGTGTTCATAACCCATCAGATGTTTACTTTAACCATCAGTGTCCATAACCCATCAGTGTTCATAACCCATCAGTGTCCATAACCCATCAGTGTTCATAACCCATCAGTGTTCATAACCCATCAGTGTCCATAACCCATCAGTGTTCATAACCCATCAGTGTTCATAACCATCAGTGTCCATAACCCATCAGTGTCCACCAACCCATCGGTGTTCAGCACATCTGTGTCCATAACCGCTCAGTCATCATAACCATCGTTGTTTTGTAACCCATCGGTGTTTTGCATAACCCATCCAGTGTTCGCTACGGCACTGTTCGTTGCGCCCATCGGTAAATACATAAACCCATAATTTGTCCATAACCCATCAATGTTCATAACCCATCAGTGTTCCAACACTTGATGTTCCGCTTTATCGGTGTCCATAACCCATCAGTGTCCATAACCCATCAGTGTTCATAACCCATCAGTGTTCACTTAACCCATCAGTGTCATAACCCATCAGTGTTCATAACCATCAGTGTCCATAACCATCAGTGTTCGCCAACCCATCAGTGTTCATAACCCATCAATTGTCCATAACCCATCAGTGTCCATAACCCATCCAGTGTTCATAACCCATCAGTGTTCATAACCCATCAGTGTTCACCAACCATCAGTGTTCACCAACCCATCGAACCCATCCATTCTTCATACATCAAGTGTCCATAACTTTACATCAAGTCTTCCTGCCCATTGGTGTTCATAACATCAGTGTCCCACCAACCCAGCTAAGTGTTCATAACCCATCAGTGTCACATAACCCATCAGTGTTCACCAACCCACCAGTGTCATAGCCCATCAGTGTTCACCATAACCCATCAGTGTTCATAACCCATCAGTGTCCATAACCCATCAGTGTCCACCAACCCATCAGGTGTCCGCTTAACCCCATCGGTGTCCGCAACCCCATCGGTGTCCGCAACACATCTGTGTCCATAACCCATCAGTGTCCACCAACCCATCAGTGTTCATAACCCATCGGTGTCCATAACCCATCGGTGTTCATAACCATCAGTGTCCATAACCCATCAGTGTTCGCAACCCATCAGTGTTCACCAACTGTCGGTGTTCACCAACACAGCAGTGTTTCCGCGGCCATCAGGCTATTTCCGCGACACAACCAGTCGAACCCGCAACCCGCATCAGTGTTCATAACCCATCAGTTTTCATAACTTCATCAATTATCCATAGCCATCCAGTGTCCACGGCCATCGGTGTTCACCGTGTGTTCACCTTATCAATGTCCATAACCCATCAGTGTTCACCCAACCCATCGATTGACCATAACCCATCAGTGTTCATAACCATCGGTGTTCATAACCCATCCAGTGTTCCTGCCATCAGTGTTCCTGTACATCAGTGTTCATAACCCATCCCAGTGTTCATAACCCATCAGTGTCCCATAGCTATCTAATTTGTTCCTTCTTCCATGGTGTTTATCAGTGTATTATTCGTTAATTCTGCTTATGGTGTTTCATAACCCATCTGATGTTGCCTTGGCTCGTCGTTTACCCCATCCTGATCTGTTCGCCGCATCTGATATTCACAACCTTCGATATTCCGACTTCCATCAGTGTTCATAACCATCGGTGTTCTAACCCATCAGTGTTCATAACCCATCATTCATAACCATCAGTGTTCATAACCCATCAGTGTCCACAACTTCATCAGAACCATTTCCATAACCCATTTGATTGTTCTTTAACCCATCGAGTGTTCATAACCCGTGAATGAACATGTATCAGTGTTCATAACCCATCAGTGTTCACGACATCGGTGTTCATAACCCATTAGTGTTCTGTAGTGGTCATGCATCATTAGTGTTCGCAACCCATCAGTGTTCATAACCCATTGGTGACATAACCCATAATTGTAACCCATTAGTGTTCATAACCCATCGGTGTTCATAACCATCGGTGTTCATAACCCATCCGTGTTCTTAACCCGTGGTGTTCACCAACCGCGTAAATTGGTTCATAACCCATTAAATTATTGCCAGCTTGTGATCGTTACTTCGACATCAGTATTTCGCTTCCATTCAATTGCCTTCGCATCAAATTAACCTGGCCTTCAATTGTTTCCGTCAGTGTTCTGTACATCAGTGTTCATAACCCGTGTTGCCTTAATCGTGTTTAAATTCTTCTTCATTCCATGGCAAAATGGTGTTCATAACCCATCAGTGTTCACCAACCCATTAGTGTTCATAACCATCAGTGTTTACCTTATAGTGTCCCTGCTTATCAGTTTACTATTTAACCGCTGTCAGTGTTCATAACCCATCGGTGTCGCAACTTCCATTCAATTGTTCATAACCATCAGTGTCCATAACCAATCAGTGTTCATAACGTGGTCTTTCACGCTACCAACACTTTCCAGTCTCGCCCATCGGTGCTTCCACCTTATTTGACGTTGCAGCATCCAGTGTTCACCAACCATCAGTGTTCATAACCCGGTAAGTCTGTTCGCAACCCATCAGTGTTCATAACCCATCAGTGTTCATAATCCATCAGTGTTCATAACCCATCAAGTGTTCACCAACCCATTCATTCAGACTGCAGCCATCGGTGTTCATAACCCATCAGTGTTCCTCGCCATTAGTGTTCTTGGCCTCCAGTGTTCATAACCCATTAGGTGTTCATAACCATCGGTGTTCCGCCCGTCTCAGTGTTCCCTTAAATCATCGTTCCACTTATCAGTGTCCATAACCCATTAGTGTTCACCAACCCATCGTCGTTGTGTAACCATTCCATCAAATTGAACACCGGCAGTAATTGTTCATAACCCCATCAAATCCACCAACCCATCAGTTTGCTCATGATGATATTCACCAACCCATCAGTGTTCATAACCCATCAGTGTTCACCATTATAAATTCTTCCTGCTTGGCGTGGTGTTCATAACCCATCAGTGTTCAGCCATCATTCCTCGGCAATCAGTCTTCGTGCATGACTGGCGTCTGATTAAATGTTCAACCCATCAGTGTTCGCCAACCCACATTAGTGTTCATAACCATCAGTGTTCATAACTTATCAGTGTTCATAACTGCTAATTTGTTGGGCCGAAAGTAGTGTTCATAACCCATCAGTGTTCACCTTATCAGTGTCCATAACCCATCGTGTTCACTGACCCGTGGTGTTCATAACCCATCGGTGTTCATAACCCATCAGTGTTCCTGGCCCGTGAGTCGACTGCGCTTTATCAGGTGCCGCGGCGCGTCGATGTCCGCAACCCATCGAAGTGTTCATAACCATCAGTGTTTCATAACCCATCAGTGTTCATAACCCATCGGTGTTCACAACCCATCAGTGCTCTGGCTTGTCAGTTGTTCCGCTTCCATCAGTGTTCATAACCCGTATGGTGAATTTCGCCTTATCAGTGTTCATGACCCATCGTTGCCTTGTGGTCGTCGCCGCTTCAATTTTATTATCAATTTCCTGACAATCGTTATAATCATCTCGTTGTTACATAACCATCAGTGATTGCAGCTCCAGCCGGTTTCTGTTGTCGGTGTTCATAACCCATCGGTGTTCTGCTTCATCAATTGAACTAACTAAACCCATCAGTGTCCCACTTCGCCCGTCGTGCCAACCCATCGGTGCAGCTTTAAAATAGTCTTCCGCCGCAGCATCAGGTGTTCACCAACCCATCCGGTCGTTGCCTTATCAGTGTTCTGTAGCCATCAGTGTTCATAACCCATCAGTGTTCATAACCCATCAGTGTTCATTTAACCGCTCCGCAACATCAGTGTTTACATAACCCAGCAATGCTGCAACCCATTAGTGTTCACCCAACCCATCAGTGTTCATAACCCATCAGTGTTCATAACCATCAGTGTTCATAACCCATCGGTGTTCATAACCATCAGTGTCCATAACCCATTAGTGTTCTTAACCCATCGGTGTCCATAACCCATCAGTGTTCATAACCCATTAGTGTTCATAACCCATCAGTGTTCATAACCCATCAGTGTTCATAACCCATCCAGTGTTCATAACCCATCAATTTCATAACCCATCAGTGTTCTGTAACCCATCAATTTCGCCTGCAACCCATTAGTGTTCATAACCCATCAGTGTTCACCAACCATCAGTGTTCATAACCCATCAGTGTTCATAACCCATTAGTGTTCACCAACCATCAGTGTCCATAACCCATCAGTGTTCATAACCCATCAGTGTCCATAACCCATCAATGTTCGCATTAGGTGTTCATAACCCATCAGGTGTCCATAACCCATCAGTGTTCACCAACCCATCAGTGTTCATAACCCATC